ATTTATACCCCTCTCGCCCGGGTGCCCAACCGGGCATGAGAATCTTCCTAGAAGTATATTATTATGCCCCTGGGTCACATGAAAATTATTTACCAAGTTTGAAATTAAGTGGTCCTGGGCCACTCTGGTAGCCTAGATGGTCTTCTCAAAAGCATCTTAGGAGAGAATTGAGCTCCATCAATTAGGTGAAAAATTAGATCCTTGAAAATATAAAGCTTAGATTTCATCGTCATTCAAGAAAATGATTCAAAAGGAATGGTCACAAAGACTCACAATGTTACATGGTTTTTATTATCTAAGTACATAAACTTTGTCTGATTTTATGCATGTGATGAGTATACTATACTGTTTTGGTTGTATGGATCCGTTCCTCTGGACCTAAGCCCTCCTACTATACTGTTATATCATGCTGTAGAACGGTCTTTATTTTTATTATTATTTTTTCATGCACGTGGGCCATACTAATCTTTTCTGTATCATTCCAACTTTAACTGAAGTCCCTAGGGACTACTGTAGAACGTTCTATAATAGAATTTATACCAAGCGATTTTATGATTCTTTTTGTTCTTTGTTATGTAGGCGAAGGATTTCAAGAGAAAGCATGTGTGAACTTGTGAAGATAGTTTCCAACAAGGAATGATTTTGCAGTGAATTGATTTTTTTTTCCAGAATAAAATGTTTTTTTGTAATCGATTGTTGTCTACAGGATTTCTGTTTAACCACTGAAATGGCGTCTAGGTTCTTATCCTACCCGCGGGTCACGTTCACGAACCTGTGCCTCTTAATGCCCTAGACATGGTTGGGGGTTTTGATCAACGGTTGATCCGTCCCAGTGACCCTCTTTCATTAGTGAAACGGTATTCACCAATTCATGGTAGCTAAGGTAGATCCCAGGGCTCGATCCCTAGATCCCCAACTTACCTGTGTACAATACCTGCGTCAACTCGAAGAGTTGAACCTGCGACCTGTAGAACCGCCAGTGGTAGGTAGGTCTGTCGTAGGTCTATAGGTGGCCAGGATTCGATCCGTAGACCTATAGACTAGAAGGCTAGCTGCAGTCCTTCTAGAAGGTTGGCAAGTGGTCAAGTGGTGCAGGCAAGTGGTCAAGTGGTGCAGGCAAGTGGTCAAGTGGTGCAGGCAAGTGGGCAAGTGGTGTGACTAAAGCAAGCCCATGTTGGAAAGAGTCTAGAAAGTACCAGTCCGGTCCAGCAAGTACCACGGGGGGAACTGTGTGCACCATGGGCCAGGGATACAGGGCAGACCAACGCAGCGCAGAGGTATAAATCAAGAGGCTGCGTCCAGCCAAGGACATTCATTCCTGCGGATGCCATGCGGAAGCGCTGCCTAGCAGCTTGTGCGAGGAGGTCTGCAGAGTGCCCGAAGACGAAGTGGGCAGAGGAGTAGAGCGCAGCGATAGGTAGTGGCAGCTAGCGCTGCCATAGCTGTAGCCTAGCATGTGTGTGTGTGAAGTGTGATACTGAGTGTTGCGTGTGGGACATCCAGGGTGATCCAGAGTGCGAACAGTGAGTTGTGTGGGCGCTCAGTCGCCATAGCCAGTTTGAAGAGAACTCTTATGTGGATACGATATCTTGAGTATTGAGTGGGCGCCTGTCGCCAATTTGCTGTTTCGCTGTTTGCATACATGACAAGTTGAATAATCGTAAGTGTGATTGCATTAGAGCCAGTGCCCCACTTCTCCAGGTAGCGTGGCCGTCCGCAGATTATGTCCGGGCAGCTTTGTCTGTTCTGGCCTTGGATATGGCCGCTGTGCATGTGGTCTAGAATCGATAATCAAAGACTATTTCCAGAATGGAGTGAGAAGTCAGTCCTGCAAAGCTGTTGCCTTCTTAGTGAGGCTTGTAACAATGATCTTTATTGTTGATGCTTATTGGTGGTGTTTGTGGATGATGTTTTGCTTTGTTGAAATTGGCAACAGTATTTCTTGGTATTCCTGGAGTATGCACGGCTGGGTCCAAGTCAAAGGTTACATTTGCTGCAGAAAGGCCTGGTTGGGCAACTGGTGAGTTGAAGGCGGAAGCTGTGGTTGTCTGTCATATGAGATGCCTTCACAGCGTTTTGCTTTTTCGTGTTTTGGTTAGCAGCCTGGATGTCTGAATGCTAGGACAGAAACCCACACCACTGTCCTGTTAGAGACCCCGATGTCTGAATGCCGGGATAGAAACCCACCTCGTGTTAAGCTGCCACCTGTACGCCCTGTGCATACATCAAATGACGCATAAAATCATCGATCTCTAAAGCACGTAAACCCTAATCTGTTCCCCATGATGTTTTCAAGGTTTCCTAATAGTATTATGTTATGTGACTGATTGAAATACAATCCAGCAGAGCATCAACGTTCCCATACACATCCCTTGATGACAAAGCACTTTTGGAGAGGGAACTCACACCAAACCAGACTGAGATATGCCAGTGGAAGCTCAAAATTAAGAAGAATTGAAGAAAATTTTCTGAAAATATCAATTCACAGTCACTTGCCTCTCTCCAGCTCAATCAGCACCACAACGATATCAAGAATCTCAGACGAGAATAAACCATCATTAACCACCTTGAACAATCTCAGAACAAAGCTTCAACAAGACTTGGGAGTCTTCCTTCTCCCTCCAACTCCAACCCTCTATCAACTGGCTATGGCGCAGAGCACAGAACTGCAGTGCTCAGCCCCAAATCCTGCAGAACGCCGGCACCTCCCAAAGCCTACAGCCTCAGCAACCCCAGCGCCCTCCCAAATAACTCGGATGCTGCAGAGCGGGGTCAGAGGCCTCTTAGGATGAGCAGCGCCAGCTCCAGGATGAACAAGGAACCTCCAGCTTGAAGAAGAAGAAGAAGAACAGCTGCCATGAAGAAGAAGATATGGCAGTGCCCAACCCCACAGCACAGATATGATCTGGGCAGATGAAGCAGATGAAGCACCCGCTTCACTGCTGCTTTGAAACCCTAGCAGCCGCTGACACAGCACAGATATGGTGCCGGCAGACTTAGCAGATGAAGCACCCGCTTCACTGCTGCTTTGAAACCCTAGCACCCGCTGACACAGCACAGATATGATGCCGGCAGACTCATCAGATGAAGCACCCGTTTCACTGCTGCTTCGAAACCCTAGCACCCGCTGCCCAGCTACAGTGCTGCTCCACCAGCCTGGCGGCATCAACAGGAGCATTTAACTGTCCTGAAAACTGCTCCCCAGAATAGAGCTAACACTTAGGACCTATATTTCAACTCTAGCCTAATGGACTGGACTGCCTAGGACCTAAAGCCAACAAATAGTTATGGGTCTGTGTTTTCCAGCGACGACAGTGCAGCTCTGAGTCAAAGGTAAACCAACTAACAGTTATGGGTGTCTTTTCAGAAGTGGTGGCAACAGTCTGAGGCGAAAGTAAAGCAACAGTCCGTTGAGGCCTGAACACGGTTGAGACCCAGTAGTACCTGTTTTTGCAGTAAAGGAATTTGCAGAAAGGTCCTTGTCTGCTTAGGCCTACTTCAGTTACTGGTTCGGACCCAGAACCCAGAGAAGCTACAAGATTGTCCTGGTCAGTGGACTCAGTGCTACAACCCACTGGGAAAAGAAAATTGCAATTATGAGGATCCCAGGTCCAACTGCTTCCTGGTGATAATTTTTCTTAGCAATAATATGGATTCTTCTCGATATCTAGTACCTTGGAGTTGTTTCTAGCAGAAGCTGTGCTTCTCGATGTTTAGTACCTTGGAGTTGTTTCTAGCAGAAGCTGTGCTTCTCGATGTTTAGTACCTTGGAGTTGTTTCTAGTAGAAACTGTGCTTGTTTTTTTGCTGAGCAGGGTTTGGACATGGAGACTGTAGCCGGGAGTATAGTTTTTTTTTTTTTTTTTGTGTGTGTGTGTGTT